GCATATGATAAAATAAGGTCTTACTACCTAAGCGCTTTTATTCAAATATTGTCAGTTAATTTTAGTGCCCACGTGTCACGATGCATGGAAGTATACATTAATGCCTACATGGTGAATTGTGTTTTTAAATGCTTGCAAAAAATGCATGGAACTTTATTTCAATACCTACTAGTTAATTTATGTGCTAAAACACTTTCAAATAACTGCATGGAACTTTATTTTAATGCCTACTGTACGAAAGCATGCAACAATATGCATTTACTTTAATGCCTACAATGTATATAAACTTCTCCCTAAAAAAGCATACCAAAATTGCGGTTTTAAACCTACAAAGTTATTAAATAATTGAGACAGTTAAAAATATGTTTTAATTATATATTTTTAAAACTTATTTTCAGTATTTCATTTCAAATCATCAATATTTTTATAAATCTAATAATAATTAACAGTACTAATAAACATGTTAAAATACGTGCAAATAAAGGCATGGAAGTTTATTTTAATGCCTACATGTTAAGTTTCATATGTTAAAATTTGTGCAAATAAATGCATGAAAGTTTATTTTAATGTCAACTGCACATAATCGTGCAAGCATGTGAGTGTGAGTTCACTTTAATGCCTACAATGTAAAAACTTTCTCTTTAAAAGCATACAAAGATTACGATTTTAACGCTACAAAGTTATTAAATAATTGGTGACTGTTAAAAAGATGTTTTATTTTTACTATATTTACAAATTATTTACAGTTTTTCACTTTAAATCATAAATAATTTTATAACTCTAATAATTAATAGTCTTAACATCAATTCACTTTTAGACATATTTACGCTTTAACCTACTCTCACTTCCACTTATTCTCTCCAATTTCGTTTGCACTGAGGCGCTAATGTAAAGTTTTGCCCATGTATGTATACACATAGGTTTTTTTTTATAAGGGTATGGTTTTAATTTATAATACTTCAACCTTAAAAAGGGTCAGCTTGTTGGGGAAACAAATTTTTTGTAGGTTTTAGAGCTGGAATTTGTCTGAGATTTTTGGGTATGGCAAAGTACAAGGAAATGACTTCCATTAGAAACTAATAATACTTGGATAAATCAATCAATCAATTAGTCAATTAGTTTCTAAAGTGCCATTCCACAATGTTCAACAGTGCTCCTCGATGAATTTCACAAAGAGTCAGTCAGAATGGGTCTTGAGATCTGCTTTTAAATATGGAAGTGATGAAGAAGTAATTGAACAGAAGGTAGAGAGTTCCAGAGAAAA